GCGATTTACCTTCAATCTTCAAGTAGTCCCTCGACCTTATTTTGGTTGTCATGAAAGAGTTAGCAACATGGACCTAATCAAACTAACGTTCCTCGTCCTCGGTCCCCATATCAATCCTTCTCCTGTCACCATTCCCTTTCATCTTCATCCGGAACCACAAATCTTTCAAAGAATGTATCTTTTGGAGGTATGGAACAACTATGTGCACATCACTATACTTCATGTGTATCTTTGAGTCTTAGTTGAGCTAGTCAGCTAGATTACCATATCTTCGACATTAAGTTTTTGTAGTTGGACTTGGAGACTTGGTAAGGGAAAGGCGTGTCATCTCACTCTTTAGGTAATAAGAAAGAAGATAAGTCTTCCTCGACTACGACCACATCTTCATTTCAGACCATATTGAGAACACGATTTTGGTTTAATACCACACTTAACCACAATGGTAATCAGCATTTGTGCCTCTTTCCTGTTTACTTCAAACAACGAATCAGCTAATCTTTCACATATCGTAGCACCAGGAATGAATCCATCCCTAATCATCTCAGCCACCACTTCCAAAGATTTATCTATCATTCCTACTCTGTAACACTCTTCACTCAATGTACTATACATTTCTTCATCAATCTCAAACTCATTCACTCGCAACTCATTCAAAAAACTCATCGCTTCACAAACTTTCCCAGCTTTGCAAAGTCCATTCATCAACACCCAATACGTATCTTTGTTCGGAGTAACACCTCGAGAACTCATTTCGCTATATAGTTCAATCACTTTCTCCACTAGTCCAAACCGAGAGTACCCATTCATAATCAAATTATACAGATAACTCTCCACTCTTAACTTCTTATCATGCATCATCAAAACCAACCTCTCTGCTTCTTCAACCTTACCATAACTAGTAAACCCATCAATCAAAACCTTGTAACTATCGAGATCAAGCATCACACTTTCCTTCTCCATTAACTTAAGAACCAAATCCAACTCTTCAAAATCCCATCTTTTCACACAACAACCAATCATCGACTTAAACGTAACAATATTAGCCTTAACCCCTTTAACCAACCCCATCTCCTCCACCAATTCTCTTGCTCTTGTAATCTCCCCATTGCAACACAACACCGTAACAACAACAGTTAAAGAGTACACAGTAACAACATCAATCCCTGACTCAACCATTAGACTAAAGAAATCTCTAGCTAGTTCCATCTGATCACATCTCTTGAGATTCAACAAATGCAAAGTACAAGTCTTTTCATCAATCTTAACTTCATTGTTCTTCATATACTCAAAAACCTCAACAACTTCACTAAATTTTCCATTGTCTGAATAAACCATAATCATCGAATTAAAGAACCTCCCAACAACTTTCTTCTCACAACCACATTCATCAATAACGCTAGAGACGATTACATTAAAAGGGTACCTGAGAATGTCATCAATAGCCACAGGCTTCAAGAGTTCTTTCGCATATGAGAATCTCCTCTCCGACAAGACACGGAAAGTGAGAGACAAGTGAGTTCTGAGATCAGGTTGGAATGAGAAAAGAGATGGGTTCTCCAGGATGAAATTGAAGAGGGAGATGCATTTCCAGGATTTGATATCTGGGTCTGATAAAATACGGCGAAGAGTGGAGAGATTGAGATCGGAGAGTGGTGTTTCCGGTGAAGCAAGAGTTTGGTTTATAGAGGAAGAATTGAGGAGAAGCTTGTAGATTAAGAATGTATAAGTTTGTTTAGCTGTCTTCAGGGTTTTCAAGAAGCATTGCGGAGTCATCGAATCGTCTCGTCGGCGGCTTTGGCTCACTCACCACTCCGTTCATCAGAACTGGAAATTTGAACCGGCCGCTACAAAAGTGGCAAGATGTTCGGTTTTCTAATATGAAAACGGCATGATTTGTTTATCACCTTCATGTCTCCAAACATTTTATTTATTATCTAAGTTATAGGCTTATTATAGCTTAAGAAAAAATGGCTTATTATAGGCAATCTCATATGGACCTCTTGGAAGAGATCTCCATGTACAAAGACATTGTTCCACATACATCTGATCTACTGACCAATCACTTCTCGCTATAAAGAATAATTCCCATTTTAGCTACTAGAACAAATGTATCTCCATAATCAACACATTCAGTCTGTCGGTTTCTGAGTGCCACGAGTCTGGGTTTGTATATCTCACTCTATGGTTCCATGAGATCAGTATTTTACTATAATATATTCATTTGCACACAATTGCCTTTTTTTCTTTCGGGGCAAAGTTTCAAGATTCCATGTATGATTGTCTTCTAAAGCATCAATTTCAGTTCCCATTATGTTTCTTCTCATCTTGTAACCAATAGCTTGCTGAAACATTTTTGGTTATGTTAACATTATGTTATGTATCACATATATATATATATAAGACATATATATATATATATATATATATATATTTTACACACATGTTACTTAATATACTATATTACACACATTTTCTTATTGTTAGTTCATAAACATAATACACCTTACTGTCATGTTTTGTTTATTGTTTTGATAAAATTGACTGTCATGTTATGTTTCAGTTTAAACGAAGAAGCGTATATATCAATTTAATCTTATGTAATAGTTATTGAATATGCATCCATTTTACAATGTTTTAACAAAAGAAATATAATTTTACAATGTTTCAACCGAGAAATCATACTTTATTGTTAAAAAGAAAAAAAAACTATATATATATACTTTTTGTAATGCCCACTCATTGGATTCCGCTAGTTGGTGCTACTGAAATATTGATAAGGCATATGCGTGAATAAATGTTAAAAGTGGATAATAATTTCCTCTTATTTTTCGTTAACGTTTTCATAACTCTACTTCTGAATTTGGGTCGACCTATCTTATCTATTATCCACATGTATGTGATGTGTACGTCAGTACGTATTAAGAATATATATTACTTTGTGTCATATATATTACTTTAATCATTTCAACATAATCCAAATGTATATTAAAAAATATTGTGGGAGCTATAAATAGAAAGAGAAACAATCACATAATAATTAGAAAATTCTGAGTGAGAAAGACAATAAAAAAAAGTTTGTAGTCAGAGAAATATTTGTTTTTCTATATCAAAGGTAAACTGTCTCGTCAATTCTTTTGATAAGGGTAAAAATGTGACATTGAATTGCTATATTGGTAGAGCAAACTTGTTGAATTCGGTAAAAACAATTTGTAAATATATCACTTTCAAAAATTGCTCGGCATACAAAATACTTGAAAGAAGATATCGTCTAAAGCTATAAATAGTAAACGGAGCCAAATTAGTAAGACAAACACATTAAAAGCTTGAAGTTTGAGAAAATTGGGAATAATAGATACGACTATAAAGAAATGGTCCTCACAACGCACACATATATTCATCCCCTCGAGCTAATATTACCATCTCATTTTGTCAGATCCATTATACGCAAAGATTCTAATGTATTTATGTTTTGTTTTGCATTTATATATAAAAGCGATGAAACAGCAAACTAGCTATTTCGATAAATACGAAGATAATCATAACACAAAATATTTACACATAAAATTCTTCCGATTAAAACATATCGAGTCCATTTAGGGACCCAAATTGGTAAATATATTAGCCAAAAGAGAGAACAATAAGCGATAATTAATAGAATGTTTAGAGATAAGAGATAACAAAGATGAATAGTGGTACTACTTATGTGATTAGCAATATAGCTGCAAGTTGGAGTGAAGACATATTATATTAACTGAGGTACTTATTTTCGTAAAACAACAATTTCATTTGGCAATACTGAAAAATATATCCAAAAATATACGTGATTGACGGACATATCAAAGATATCATCATGATGTGAAAATAGCTGCCAACTTGCTATATTGGTACTGATAGAATGATTTGGCTTCCACTTATGGACGAAGTCTAGGTCATCCAAGGCATTGCTCAAAACCATTCGATTCATAGTGGAAGCTATGATAAAAAAAAATGATTTATTTCTACAATGACTAATGGAAAGTAATTTAGACACACACATCTCCATAACATAGAAAACATTACTAAACACACATATAACAAGATGTACTACAAGACATAATAACCAAAAATAATACTAATATTTATAGAATTTGTTTTGGAAACAAGTTTGGGAGGTTGTGCTCATAAACAAAACATGAAACTCATAACTGTGAATAGGTTTTGTTTATATAACTAATATATATGCCTTATAACTCATTCTGAGTATATATGATGCTATAGATTTATTGTTCCCTTATAACAGAATAAAGAGAAAAAGAGAGTATATATTCTTCATTGTTTCAATATCAGTTATAAGGACGAAATCTAAAAATGTAAATAGAGGGGACACAAATAGGTTGGACTGAATATGCCTAGCCTACAATGTGTGTAAGGTCCACCCAACAAGTTCTTGATTGATTCTCAATTTGAATGTAATAGCCAACAACAACCAACAAAACAAAGAACTGACAGTGTGTCTTGAAAACCTTTTCTTTGCTAGACAACAATAGTTCCATATAGACCTGTTATATATATTATCTCAACTTCCATATATAATATCCTTTTTTGTTTCTAACAAAACAAAACTATATTGTGTTGTTTTGGAAATGCAAGGTGGGATTGGCAACATAAGAAATAAGGCATATATATTAGTTACCTTAAGTAGATCTCTCTTACCTTACTGATCTTGATGTTGTGACTCTTGTTCACTTATTGAAATAGAAGCTTGTGGATCTATTAATGTCTTGATAAAGACTGCCAAAAACCTGAGATCAAATGCTCAATGTTATCACATGAAACAAGATACCCACAAAAGTTCTTTGTCAGATCTTTATGTATAACAAATAAAAATAAACGGGAGGATATGTTAACATAAAGGTGAAAAAAAAAAACTTCAAGTAGAAACAAACCTACCTGAAGAAGATCTGGATGGAATCCAAATAATCTATACAGAGGGAGAGAGAGAGAGAGGGAAAGAATAGTCGTTGATTGCCGATGCAGCATCATCAAGATTCTCATTTTCATAGAGAACTTTGTGGAGAGTGAATCACCACCGTCCATCAACAGATGTGAATCTTGATGATGCCACAGCAGCCAACAACGACCGTGGCTCCGGAAATTAGTCTTCCATTTTTGTTTAACAATCTTCTTGTAGTAATCTTTTGTCTCTCAAACTCAAACTCAAACTCAAACCCAAACTCAAACTTTGAGTGACTTACTACTTAACAAATATCATCTATATGGTACTTAACCTTCTTAATTTATAGACACTAGAAACTCGTACCTTCATATATATAATATATAAATATGTATATACAAACATGGCGGAATAGTCGAGATGACTTGTTTTGATTGAAGGAATTTTGAAGTAACTAAGATGTCAAATTTAATCTCGTATACTTAGTTGGAACCTAACCATCTCCAAACCAGAAGAAAAAAGTGAAAAAGAATTGAAACCCTAAAAGATAAAGATGGCAGAGGGGAAGCAAAAACAGATGATCGAATAACATCTGAACTTCTTAATATATACTGCTAAAATAGTAAAACGAGACATGACGTAAGTATGATTTGATCTAATACTTCTTAATCTATTTTTGATTTGAAAAAAGCTTAAGTATGACGTATTTATAACATATTACCAGATCTTGGAAGCCATATATTAACCAGAGAAAGACCTGGTGAGATCTAGAACACAGATGAGAGAGAGAGAGAGAGAGATGTGTTTGTCTAAATATATATGCACAGTAAGAGATGTGACTGTGTAATAATATATATGTTGATTTATTTGGTATCATATATACATATGTTGAATTTTTGTTACTAAATGTTAATATATGCATAAATATTTTATGAAGAGAGTTTGATTGGCAGAAGTTGAGTTATGGTAAAGAGAGTTGGGACAAATGGAGTTAGGAGCTGCCATCTTGGAGTCCACCTCGTGAAGGAATATCTCACTTTCCCACTTCACATGTGTAAACTTCTTCTTATTTGCGCAACTATTATTGGATCTATGCCCCTTATAAAAAAAAAGAACAAAAAGAATAGCAATTTGAAGTAGCTAAAGTTTTAACAGTTCAGTGAAATTAAATAACATTTGGTGGTAAGCTTTAAGCCTTTAACAGTGTAGTGAAAATAATTTAGTGATTACAACTTAAAAACGTAGAGAAACTTAAAGATAAACGGTAAGACGAATTAAAAAGAGAGTGGCAAAACAAAGAGTAATAATTTAGTAATTCGTTTAGTTGAATTGAATCTATTTAGGTTAAGAAGAAAAACATTGCCAAATTGTCTTGGGAAAAGAATATGTACTTTTCTGCCCTGAGTTCAATTCTCACTAGAAACAAAGTTATGGTATTTTTGGTAAGCAATAATGGCACAGTATTGATTTCATGGACTGTATTTTGCTAAGTCAATTAAATTCACTTTAAAATTACTCGGATTTTTCTGTGATTCCGGAATGTTGTTGTGTTAGCATGGTCTTTGCAAAACAAGTTGAACCTTGCATTACTCCGGTGTCGTCGATGCATTGCAATTAGATATATATATATGTATATATATATATATATATATATATATCCAAAAATAGATGGGATAGTAAAATATATAGATTCAAGGAATTATCTGAATGTGTTTTTTAATATATACAAAAAATTGATTGTTGACACATATTGAGATCCAAGACGGCATAAATACTATGTGTACACATATGAATACTACGACAGGACGTAATTAATCATCTCTCAAAGAAATTTGAACCCGGGACACAGTGAACCTTAAACCTGTTTTTGTACTAAGAAAAGCTGTAGCAAAAGATATTAATTCAATCTATGGAGTACATAGTAGAAAGTAGAAACAATAATTTCTCTAAGTACTACAGGTTAGCAAAACCGATGATACCGCCAAAACATGCACACAAACTGATCTTTAAACCAAAAGATCTACAAGACAAAGATTTTACGCACACAAGAAAATGGTCCAAACAGTTTTATTTCGAATTGAACTAAAGAAATGAAAGAGAAGAGTTCACGTGTTAAAAGTGGTCAATGAAAAATGTCTGTCTACAAAATGAAACGATTGGTGCATCACGAATAGAAAATTATTGTCATCAAGCAAAGTTCGAAAACCACATTCCCAAATATACATATATGTATTAGCTTCTTATATTAAACATTATAATAAGATTTATATTATACTTGAAACAAAACCTATAATCTCAAATTCTCAATGGCATCTATAATAACGAATAAAATTAATCTTTAGTTAAGGATCCTGACTACATTTACTCTACCATGTGTAGTAAATTTAGTTTATAGATCATACTTGTTTAACCTAATAAAGTATTAGCAGACGGACCTCCTTTAATTACCTGCCAAATGTCATGTAAAAAAACCATTTTCATTGGTTAGTTATTATAATATGTTTGTCATAAAATGTGTAAGAGTTGAAGAGAAAACAACAAAATGGGGGGTGTGGTGCTTGATTCTGGACGTGTCTCTCTCGAAGTTGGGAGTTTTAATATTGGCGGTTTGCATATTAATTTTTGCTCTCAACGATTTCTTAATTTTTGTGGCAAACCTTTATACATCAAATAAATTGAAAGAAAGGGAGTATATAAAGTGGATGAACCCGACTTTTATTTAAAGAAAGTAAAAGCTATATATATATTTATATATTGATCCAAATCGCATATATATAATTATATACCCCACTAATCATATATTTATTTCGATTAGCAGGAAAAGCAAATCCATATATATACCAATTGTTTGAAAAATTAACTAGTAACTTTAACCAGATTAATATTTGTGTATTGTATATGTTTACTGATAATATAGAAAACTCGAAAGTATGGTCTTCACTCTTCACTATTCAGGTGGTTTGAAGTACTTTGTTGAACCCAAGGAACTCTGATGCTATTACGAGGATCTGGTCTCTGGATTATTTTTTTGAAGTATTATTATTTATAAAATAATTGTCCACTATCTATTCGATAAAGGTTACTTGGTTTAGGGTAAAGATAGTTTTTGAAAACCCTTGGAAAAAGGATTACCGCAATTATTATTAGACTACTAACACTAAACTATAATATCATGGGAATATTTTTATCATTACCAATACGCACTTGCCAAGTTACGTCACTGTGTTTAAACTAGATTTTAGAAAAGAAAAATAACAGAATTTAGAAGAAAATAAAATAAAATAAAAAGGTATAACTATTTTTGGTAGTTGTTAATTTGTTATAGCTTACAAAGCCAGTTTGTAATTTTTGGGATCGTTAGATGCCTTTGGAGTGTGTGGTCTTTAAAAAGTGAAACTGATGGAGAATGAAAAAGGGAAACTGAATTACATGAAAATAGGTTATATTGATTGCATTGAATTGCTCATTGCTCGTTGTTATCGTGTTAGCATACATGCTAGAATGACCATTTTCACTAATACTCACGCCTCTTTTTCGGGTGTAGGTGAAGAGTAGTTGTTTAAAATTGTGTGTGCCAAGACTAATGAGACTATAAGAGATTAATTTTGATTTTTAAATTATTTGAATAAAACGGTAGCATAGCTTTAGATATTAATCTGCTTTTCTATCGGACTATCAATAACAAACTTTCGTATTTTATTCATAATTTTGTTGTTTTATTCGTTATAACAGTTTTAAATTCAAATAATTTCGAAAGAAAACCACTTGACACTGGGCCAGCCAGTTCTCAACGTGAATTTAGCGCGTGTGTAGTCCTAATTCCTAACCAATGTCTTGAGCGGTTTATATCATATCTACCAACTAAAATAAAAGTTAGTCTATAAACTGGAATTCTTTAGCCCAATAAATATGAACTGTTAGTTCATAATTTAGCAGATTATAAAAATAATGTAAGGGAATACATATCTTATCTAGTCCACATTTCGTATCTTTCCATTAAATTTGATTTTCATTGTCCAAAATATTGAAAAGTATCTAAAGGTGAGATTCGAATCAGGCCACCTGAAAGGGACCCCAAGTCCGTACAGTCTGAAGTGGATAGGTGCAGATTTTGTTGACAAGTTGGCGTTCTTTATTACGTGTTCTCTTCGAACCGTCATGATTTCGTAGCCACCTCTTTTCCCCTACCTATATACAACACAACAATTTTTTTTTACCCCATATAAATTTAACTATTTTTTTGATTAATTGTTTAATTGGAAGAAACAATTTTTTTCGAAAAATATCGTTAATTTTGGTTTCGGATAAACGGGTTAAACAATCAGCTTTGACATTTTTTTTTTTGTAAATATAGCTTAGACATCTTCCTATCGTGAAATCCATAAAATATATACAAAAAAATATATATCATGAAATTGTTAAATTCGTTTAGAAGATTAAAGCATGTTTCATTGTCCTAAGCATACCACAAATGTATGTCCAGTGTCATTGTTTTTTGTTAGTTTCTAGGCTAATTCTTTTGTGTGTTTTTTTTCTAACAAAAACTTGTAATCTTATAAACCTTTTATTAAGAGAAAAGTAAACAGGATAAATGTAATGACATGGCTCCAATGAGGTTGAGGTGGACCAATAGCCCCAATGGTACGTCACGTGACACTCATGGTTGTTTCATAAAAGTGCACCAGTAAGACACTCCTTGCCACGTGACCAATGGGCTCAAGGACAGAGCCATGGACCAAACTCTATCACCCCAGTTCCTGTCTGGTCCCCTCTTCTTCATTTTCTTTTACTTTTCCAATTCAATGTGAAATTGAAATGTATAATGCTAATGGAATAAATCATTGCTTTTTCGTCTAAAGATTTTGGATTTTAACCCATCACCAAATTCGATGAGAACAAAAAAAACGATTTAATAGAAATGTTTTGATGCGCCGAAAAAAAAAATTGTACTAATGGAATCTCATAATGAGAGAAGCAACACATTATGTCGATAGACAAAGTCAGCCAACTCTGAGTACTAATTACAACGTTTCGAATCCTCATTGGCTTTGCTCTGTGTCAACAAATCAAATGAAAGACACTTTTTTTTTTGTATTATTAAACTTTGAAACAAAGTAATATATAGACGACAAAAGAAAATCTCATATGCAAAAGTTACACTAGATCGAGTAATTTATTGTCAG